TTTGAGACTGGAGAGATGGCTCAGTAGTTAAGAAAGCATACAGCTCTTGCAGAGGACACAGGTTCGGTTCCCAGCACCCACATAACAGCTCACAATTGTCTATAACTTCAGTTCCAGAGGAATCATGTCCTCTTCTGTCCTCCTACACATGTGGTACACATAAACTCACAGAAGCACAAAACATGCACACACATATAAAAATAAAAATTTTTAAATATATGTGTGTATATGTGTGTGTGTGTGTGTGTGTGTGTGTGTAAGTATATGCCACCTATGTGTGCCCTGCAGCTGGAGTTGCAGGTAGTTGTGAACCCTGCCCCCATAGGTGCTGGGAACCTCTGCAAGAGCAGTGAGCTTATTAAATCACTGAGCCATCTCTCCAACCCCAAAACTACAAATCTTCTAGAGGAAATACGACCTAAGACTGAGAAAACAATGTTTATCTGTGGTATATGTGGTATGCATATGTATGCCAGCAGGTATGCAAGGAGGTCAGAGAGAGATACATCAATTCCAAGTAAACACATGAAAAAAGTCCAATATTAAGAGGAATATGGAAAAGATGGTACCAGTTTCTTATAAGATCAAGCATACGTTTATATTACCTAGCAATCCCATGTTTCAAGAGTTACACAAAAGAAATAAAGGAATTATGTCCACACAAAGACACTCAATGCTCATAAAAACTTTATTCATAATAATTCTGGAAATAGTCATAATCGAATGAATAAATAATTTGCCATATTCTATACAATGGAATACTATTCAGCAATAAAAATGAATCAATTACCAATACATGCAACATAGATGAATCACAAAAACAGTTCAGTAGTATTAAAAAGCAAACATAAAGGCTGCATACTCTATTATTCCACTCATAAGAAATTTTAGAAAACTAAAACTTAAAGAGAAGAGACTGATTGCAAAGAGGCACAAAGGAACTTTTTAATGTGGTAAAAAATGTGCTGTATCATTACTGTGAAAGCAGTTACATGATTGTATACACTTGCAAAGCTTATTAAATTATACACTTAAAATGAGTTTTACTTATGTAAATTATGTCTCTTAAAGCTCATCAAAAAAGGGTGATGGATTCACACTTATAGTCTCTAATTACAATAATGAACATAAATCAAGCATTTCTACATTTTAAAGATTTTATTATTTCTTCATGTCCACATGTGTGTCAGTGTGTCTTCTGCGCATGTAGGTGCATATGCCCTCAGAGGCCAGAAGAGGGCATCAGATCCCCTGGGGCTGGAGTTACAGGTGATTGTGAACCACCCCTGTGTGGATGCTGAGAATCTACCTTGGATCCTCCCTAAGGGCAGCAAGCGTTCTTAACTACTGAGCCATCCCTTCAGCCCCATTCCTAAGTTTTAAAAGCAAGCATTTCCTATACCAAAATTAACACTAAGACTTGGGGCAAATTGTCATAGGAAATGGACAGTAGAGACTGTTTTTATTACTTACTAACACATACAATTTAATAAGATCTGAGATTTGCCAAAACCTATCTGTCTGTTACACAAAGAAGCAAAGTACAAAGGATTTACTCATTTAGACAATTCACACAACTTTAAACATGAAAAGTATTTTTTAGGTGTAATATGGTAATGAGTTAATGTTAAGGGCTTTATTTTTTCAAATGATTTTAAATATATATACTGTTTGTAACAAAAGTGTACAGTTTTTAACAGCAAAGATTATGGTAAATCATTCACAAATACTGAAGAAAGATGTCAGACAAGAATCAAAATTCAGGTGTACAATCTGCTTTCAGATGCTTTGACAATACTATTGCACTGCTAGCTGTAAAGTACAGTAGTGCAATAAAGTCAGAGCATTCGTTAGCAGTAAAAAGTAGGAAAGAAATATAAAAGCATCTTGAGATATTTGAAGTGTCAGTGTATAAGGAATTTAAAGTTGAACTGCCATTTTGGTCAGAAGACATCCAAAACCTAAAAGCACTTAAATCAATGTTTATTTTTAAAAGGCATAAGACTTAAATACCAAAGTAACAGTTGTTTTTGGATGACTAACCTACAACTAGCGTTCAAAGAGACACATGCAAAGATATAAAGAAATCTTGCAAATATGTTCTATGTAGGCCTTAACAGTAGCTAACATGGGCATCTGTATTTTAGGATTGGTATTAACAAAACTAGTCATAATTATTACTAAGGCAAATCTGTGAAAAGTATTTCTGTTCTCTTCTTAAAGGGTTTGTTGGCTAGCTCCTTTTCAAAATAATTAACTGCCATGTAAAACAAGTCTTTTGAGTAAGAACCTCAAAGAAAACAAATGAAAAAATAATAAACTTCTCAAATCTCTACATCTATCTCTGTGGAATCTAATACACATGCACATACATAAAGCATTTAAAGAAATCTTATGCCATTTTAACTCAAGAGTTTACTGAGGGCTGTTATAACATGGGAAGAGACTACCAGGGAACCGTACGCATTCCAAGCAGGACAATACTAAACCAACATAACAATACTATGTTAAGAGGATTTTTAATATTTCAGTTTAACTCTATAAAAAAAGTACATAAAAGCATATCCATTTCCTTCAAACTTAGAAATATCAAGAAAATAATAATGTGATTGATGAAATTAGTTTCCTTAAAAGTCAAATGTAGAGCCAGGCGTGGTGACGCACGCCTTTAACCCCAGCACTCGGGAGGCAGAGACAGGCAGATCTCTGTGAGTTCAAGGCCAGCCTGGTCTACATAGTGAGTTCCAGGACAGCTGGGGCTACAGGGAGACCCTGTCTCAAAAAGACTAAAAAAAAAAATGAAATGTAAACCCAGAAATAGAATTGAAGGATCACATTACACAACCTTTTGTGAACAATCACTAGTGATACCACAAAAGGAGGGCAAGAGACAAATACCACTCAGTAAGTACAAGGAAACACGTTAGTGAACAAAGATTACCCTACAATGAGCTTATTCCTCCATTAGTAATGTTGATTGATGCAGAAATACATTCCCACTTTTTTCATTAGCCTTCCTTTAAATGGTGGATTAAACCTTCCTTTAGATGGATTACGCCTAAGAAATGGATTCAGATTAAGAACAACAGGAACACAGGATACTCAAATCCAGGGCCACATAACTCAAATTTTGGGAATATTGAACTCAGTTAACCAAGCATAGGGTTTTAAAGACAAAGTGTTTAAAAGACAAATGTTTAATTTTCTGAATTAGAAGTGAATACAAAGAAAAATATGATAAAATTTCAATTAAGAGGATTGGGCTTTTTACAGAAAAAGGATAACTAGTGCTGTTTCAAAGTTCAACAGTATGCATTCTTTTTGCCTATTAAATATCCAAGACTGGTTCCTTAGCAAATCTGTTAAGTGATGTAAAACCAAAAACCAGAAGATTGTGCAGGAAATCATTTACCTTCAGCTTAGAAAATACAGTGGTTCACATATACATTTGTTAAAGGAACATGGTAAATGGGAAGATGAGATGTACTGTCTTTTGTATCTAGTTAAGAAAAGCAGTAATACTGAAAACTGATTGAATTTCTAATCCATTTTTAAACTCTGATGATTATAAATGTAAACTTTCTAAAACCTTTACCCAGCATGTTTACTTGTTTCCCTACAATAATCTGTTCAATCTAAAAATCTTCTTAAAGAGATTTAGAATGCCTTTTGATAGACTATTAACTACAATATTTAACATTTTTGTATTTTAAATATATAATTATACACACACAAAATTCCTTTAAGTTATTGAAGGTTTAAGAAACTGGAAAATTCTCCCAAACCCCCTCCCATCTATGCCCACACTCCCACCACAAAGAAAGTTTAAAAGCCCAAGGTTAAAAGCCATTCAAAGTCCTCTAATCAAATTTGCATGAGGCACCTGAATTCATTAACACATGAAAGAATAAGATAAACCCGGGACTCACACTTTCAGGGATGGGAGTGAGGGTTAGAGATGGTACTGAGTATCTTCCAGAATCACTTTTCTAAGGCAGAAGTTACATCCCTAGAGCAGCACAGACACAACGGATATCTAAGGAGTGACGCCTGGGTACGGCAGAGGATGGAGGGATAGATTGCGGATGAAGTTTGTTTAAAATTTTAATCCTGTTATCCTAACAAAGGGGTGGAGGGTAGCAGGAGTGAAATAATTCCTCCAAATTCCGTGTGTTTATGGAAGGCAGTACAATCTGAAAGAAAACAACCGATCATGCAAAGGAAGAAAGCAGAACAAGGGAACTGAGAAAAAAGCGCTGTGATCGGGCGGGCAGGCCAAGCGTGGGAGGGCGGGAATAGAGAGGACCGGCGCGGGGACTCCCTTGCTAGACGCCCCATCCCAAGCGGAGCACCGGGGGCAGGCCAGACCAGTGGCTGAAGCGCGAGCCCTCAGGCGGGCTCTTCCGAATGGGTCGGTTCCCGGACTCCGCTCCAGGCTCCTCCCCGCGCCCAAGGCTTGCCATCTCCCGGCGGGATAGAGCCGGTGCGGCCGCTGGAGAGCGGCTAGCGCGCCAGTTCTAGCATCCTCCCTCCGACTTCTCAACCCGCCAGGTGAATCCGAACTCCTCCCGCCCCGGACCTCCTCCCTCCGCAGCCTCCAGCGCCCCTTTCCGGGAACCGGGGCCGCCTGCCCCCTCGGAGCTCGTAGGGACGGATCCGGGCAAGTTCCGGAGACAGGGCTGCAAGTACCTCCAACGCGGTCTGCACTGGGCGCGGCTCCGGGAGGGCGCGGGGCGGAAGGGAGGACCGCAGAATTACAAAGGCCCCACACCCTCCACATCTCCCGCCATTTCCCTCAGCAGTTTCCCGGATGTAACCCCTTCCCCTGCGGCGGTTAGGAGACCCAGGCGGCGGCGGCTCCCTTCCGTGCAAGATCTGGAAACTCGATTCTGGTTTAGCCTCCGCCACCCGGAGTTTCCGACGACTCCAAATGACGCCTCACCTTCTAGACCTCTGTCGGGGACAATTCATGACCCGCTAGGTCTTCCCTTTGCACTCACCATCAGTTCCAGCTTGTCGACCTCCGCCTCCATGTTGAATAGTTGACATTCCACAGACCGCGGCGGCGCTTAAGGGGAAAGCCGCGGCAGCACTGAGGGCCTCCATTGGACAGCTGTCATTCAACGTCTCTCTCTGATTGGCTAGTGCGCTTCCCGGCGCCCGCCCATTGGCGTTTGGGGAACGCCCCTGCGTCTGAAACACAAGTTGCTGTTGGGCAAAGACACAAAACGCCGCCGGAGGATTGGCTGAGGAATGCATGTTTTTTCCCATTGGCTGCTTTCTGGTTTCTTTCAATTTCATAGCTGGGGGCTCCACAGAAAAGAGTTTGCGATTGGTGCTGCCGGAAGAAGCGGCAGCCAGTGGCACAGAGGCTTCCGCCGCCGGCTACAAAGAGGAGACACACCTTCTTTTCTCCGCGGCCTCGCCTCCATTCCCACCCGCCTTCCCTTATTCATACCCGCAGCGCCTCGGTTCTGATTGGTCACAGCATGATGCGATCGCAGCCAATTGTAAGCCAGGATGTGCTCCGACGCTTTCAGGCCAGCAAATCCTGTAGAGACCACATCTACGATTGGTCTCTCCATGACACGGATTTAATTTTGAATTTTTCTTTACGGCGTGGAAGAGACTTATGCCCGAACTCCGTCTAATCCCCAGGCTCTTCGACTAGTAAGTCCAGGGGCGATGTTTTCTTTGTTACCTGATCTCCTGTCTTCTGTTGCTGGGACCGTTGCTGTTTGGGGTCCTATGGCTTAAGAAGGTGGGGTCTTGGCCTGGACTTGGAGAGATGCAGCAGAAAAGGGGAGGTTTGGGGCTGGAGAGGAGCTCCCCGCTGGCACCACTTGGGCCATATTTTTATTTAACACTCCGCAGTATGTTTTGAAGCGATGCATCTACCTTCCTCTAGCAGTAACTCCTTGCAAAGCGGACCCACCGAGTAGTGACATCGACTTCTCTGGTCGCTTGTTACAAATGCAAATGATCTCGCTCCACTCAGATTCACTGAATCCTCCATTTAACCAGATGCTCTCCCCTTGATTTTTAAGCACGTTTAAGTTTGTGAAGGAAAGTTTCTTGACAGGGATTAATTAAAATGTTTCCTTGATACAGTGTTAATTTCATCCCACATTCTGTGAGTGTCGATTTTAAAAGTGTGTCCTTTGTGTTCTTGTTTTTTGTTTGTTTGTTTGTTTGTTTTGGGGTTTTTTTTTGTTCTTGTTGTTTTTGGGTTTTGGTTTTTCTTGGTATTTTTGAGACAGGGTCTTCCTGTAGCCCCAGCTGGCTTGGAACTCGCTGTGTAGACCAGGCTGGTCTCGATCTCACAGAGATTTGCAAAAGTGTGCCCTTTTTGCTATATGTGAAGGCTAATCCTCGGTGTCGACTGGATATGGATTAACCGAAATGAGAGAGATCTTTTTGATTGGATCTTCCGAAGCTGGAAGACACACCCTAAATGTGGGTGTTACCTTCTGATGACAGCCTGTATAAAAGGCCATGGCAGAGGAGAGTGCTTGCTTTTTGTGCTTACCCTCTCTCTCCCTGGTGAGTTCGTCTTGCTGCTGTAGACTGAAGACTAGCTGACCTTTTGGAATTCATCAGACCTTCAGGGCCAGATTATGTTGAACAACTTGAACTCTATCCTGTGAGCTAAATTGATAAATCTCTATACATATATATTCATTCTACTGGTTCTGTTTCTTTAGAGAACCCTGACTAATACACTATATGTCTAGTACTGTGCTGGCTGAGACATTAGAGACCTGTGGTCCCTCTGAGAAAGACAAAAGATAAGAACTGAAAAAAGTCATCCTTCACAACATAAAACAAAATGAACTATGAGAACATGCCAGTAATTGTGCTACATTATGCAAGATAAAACAACTGAATTGGTAATGGTAACTGGATTATTGATTGGCGGTGATTTATGAGGGTGCTCAAGTAAGTTTTAGGATGTTAGTGATGAAATGGCAACTGCCATTTCACTGCCACAGTTTTGGAAGTGCCCCCAACCAAAGAACATTTCATTTAACAGTTGGAGCATAAAGATGTGATGATTCGTATAAGTAAAAACTCCTCTACCAAAAAATATGCATTATTTAATTGTTTTAAAGCATATTGTAAAAGGAGAACCATTCCTGGCTAACACTAGAAACAGATGGTTTCTTTTGTTCCTTATTGGATAAAACATTTAATGCTTCCTGTGTTCTAAGTCTGAGGAAATAGATGAATAAAATTTAACTAGGTGAGATATCACACACCTGTGATCCCAGCACTTGGGAGATGGAAGCAGGAGGAGGAGGAGTTCAGAGTCATCCTGGTCTACATATCTAGTCTGAGGGGTCCAGTCATGATTTTCTTTTTTTGAGACAGGGTTTCCCTGGAGCCCCAGCTGGCCTGGAACTTAGTAGGGAGACCAGGCCAACCTCAAACTTACAGAGATCTGCCTGTCTCTGCCTCCCAAGTATTGGAATTAAAGACATGTGCCACCACACCAGGCCCCCAGTCATGATTTTCGATGCTTTGTACAACTACAGTCCTAGCACTCAGGAGGCTGAAGCAGGAGTATCTTGAGTTCCAGATCCGGCTATGCTATATAGCAAGACCCTGTTTCAAAAAGAAAATTATCCTGCTAATTTGACTGACAGTAATACAGTAAGTAAGACGGACTGGAAGGACTGTTGAGATACTTTGACTGTTGCCCTTTGCCATTAAGGATAGCCTCTGAAGTCCACATACAGAATCAAGCCACTTCTCAGTTTTTACAACTTGAAAGCAGGGAGGGAAGGTGTCCTGAGAATCTGAGAGCTGAGTAAGTATATGCAGTGCAGTACCAAGTGGCCAACTTTACCAAGTGAGCAGAAGCAAAATGAATGTTTGTTTCATTTGTTTATTATATATTTTAAAAGCTGATTGTCCCTATTCAAATCTAACTTTGAGGAGAAGAGGCCTAGGCCTTGAGACAGACCAGTTTTTTGTGGTTTTTTTTTAAGATTTTTATTTTTACTTTATGCGTATAAATGTTTTGTCTGCATGTATTTGTACCAGGTATATTCATGGTGCCCTTGGAAGCCAGAAATGTCAGATACTCTAGAACTGGAGTTTTGGATGGTTGTTAGCCACCATGTGGATCTCCCAGGTGCTCTGGGAGAGTGGCAAGTGCTCTTGACCACTGAGCCATCTCTAGCCCTGAGACAGACCATTTTCATTTTGGTACTTATATAATAATGTCTTTGTTCCTCAGGTATTAACAACTAAAACCAGTCAAGACTTTTTGAAACTTCAGATCAAATTTTCCCAGACCAACTCCCTCCCCCCATTTGAAAAAAGGTATGGATTAAACTATAAATATACTAAATAATGATTGGTTTGGTTTGGTTTGGTTCGATTTGGTTTGGTTTGGTTCGGTTTGGTTTGGTTGTTTTGTGAGACAGGGTCTCCCTCTAGCCCCATCAGGCCTGGAATTTGCTATGTAGACCAGGCTGGCTTCCACAGCCTGGTAGGCCTGGAATTTGCTATGTAGACCAGGCTGGCTTCACAGATAACTGCCTGCTTCGGCTTCCTGAGTACTGAGATTAAAGGCATGTGCCACCATGTCTGGCTAAATAATGTTTTGTTTTGTTTTGTTTTAATTCTGGCCTTCTTTCAGCAGGGAGAGTCTTTTTGAGGCAGGGTCTCCCTGTAGCCCCAGCTGGCCTAGAACTTGCTGTGTAGATCAGGCTGACTCAGAGAGATCCACCTGCCTCTGTCTCCTGAGTGGTGGGATTAAAGGCATGTGCCACCACACCCAGCTTAAATTAATGTTTTTAAATGCTTCACAATAAATGTTTTAAAACACATTTTTGACTTGGAGTTAAAACACTAACAAAAAAAAATGTGCAAGAATCGGACTGGAGAGATGACTTAGCAGTTAAGAGCACTGGCTGCTCTTGCAGAGGAGCTAGGTTCAAATCCCAACACTCACATGGCAGCTAACAACCATCTGAAACTCCATTTCTAAGGGATCTGACACCCTTTTCTGGCCTCTGAACACTGCTGGCAAAATACTCATATACATATAACTTAAATGAATAAATTTTAAAAGTTTTAATGTGCAAGGTGCAAGTAAAGGGGCATTTAATAAATAATTTTGCTCCCTCCCACTATAACATTGAGTTCAGAGGCTCATCTTTTTAATAACTAATCATGGCACAACTATAGCCATTTTCTCTGTTACGAAGAAAGAGAAGGGTTAAGCAATGTAGTCTGTTGGTAATATGCTTGCATAATATGTAGGAAGGCTGAGTTGGATACCCAGCATTGCATAAAGTGGTTGGAATGACACAGGCCTGTAATGCCAGCCCTCAAGGTAGAAACAGGAGAATCAGTAGTTTGAGTAGTTCAGGTTTATCCTTAGCTATACAGGGAGTTCAGGGACAGCCTAAGATATGAGAGCTTGTCTCAAAAGAACTGAAAAATAAAGGGAAGGGTTGGAAGTTTAACTCAGAGGTAGAACACTTGCCTAGCAAGAACAAGAACAAGGCCCTGGGTTCAGTCCCCAGCTCCAGGAAAAAAGACATGGGACAAAGGAAAGAAAATAAAAGGGAAATTCATTTGACTTCATGAAGAAAAGCAGTACATATGAAACAAGGTTGGAGACAAATGTAATGCCAAAGAAAAGTCTTTCTAGAGGCCAAGAGTGGTGGCACATGCCTTTAATTTAATCGGGAGGCAGACAGATCTCTGTGAGTTTGAGGCCAGCCTGGTCTACATAGCGAGTTCCAGTCCAGCTGGGGCTGTAAGGAGACCCTGTCTCAAAACTACCAAAAAAAAAAAAAAAAAGAAGAAGAAAAGAAAAGTCTCTCCAGAGATAGTTTAAATCCGGGTTTATATTTTCCACATTTGGAGACTTCTATGATGCTGGCAACAACTTTCTTCCTTTTTTCATTAGTTTGTGTTTTCTGGTTTTTAATTTTTTTTTTTGGTCTTTTTGAGACAGGGTCTCCCTGTAGCCTCAGCTGACCTGGAACTCACAGAGATCCGCCTGCCTCTGCCTCCCAAGTGCTGGGATTAAAGGCGTGTGCCACCACGCCCGGCTCTGGTTTTCAAATTTTTAATTATTTTTATTTATTTTAATTATTTATATATTTTTACCATTTTTAAGTATATGAGTGTTTTGTAAGTGAACCTTGGAGGCCAGAAGAGGGCATCAGATCTTCTGGATCTGGAGTTATACAGAAGGTTGTTATTCACCATGTGGGTGCTGGGAACTGTACCCAGGTCTCTGCAAGAACAGCCAGTGCTCTTAACTGCTGAGCCATCTCTCAGCCCCTTGTTCTGTTTTGGCGTTTTTTTGTTTTTTGAGTTTTTCTTTCAATCAGGGTCTTATGTGACTTACCTTGAATCCACTATGCAGTTGAGGTTCTCCTTGAACTAGCCACCAGCCTCCACTTTCCAAATACTGAGATTACAGATATGTAGGACTGTACCTGGGATTTTTTTGGTGTTTTGGAGACAGAGACTCACTTATGTAACAGGCTGTCAAACTCATGATGATCCTCCTGCCTCAGTGTCTGTTCCAACATGCCCAGCTATACTTCTTTTTTTT